ATCAATAAAAGTGTGAATGGTGTAGAGAGGACTTAAACCTGCTGATTGCAAAGGACATTCCATTATCTAAGAAAGAGTGCGCATACATTGTGGCTTAGAGTGATGTATTCCATGTTTAAATAGTATTCTCTTAAAAAGTATAATGTAGGTGTTTGCCTGAGCTCCTGATAACAGACGTATTACAAATTACATTTTTTCTGATAGACACATGCTACTTTCCATTTAAATTTTCTACAGATGTTATCTTTGGATTCAGCAATGTACTAATTTGGGAATAAATATATTTTCCTTTTTAGCAAAGGAATTAAGCCAGTGGTATGGTTGTTTTTTCTCTGCCTAGGCCATCCAAATGATAATATAACAGTAACTTGCAAAATGCCTCAAAACCTCACATAACATAGACAAGTGATGGTAGTAGGATTAATTTGTAAGTTTTTTGGTTGTTTTATTTTGTTTGATTTTTTTGTTTGATTTTTTTTTTGGATGAGGTTTTTTTGTATTATGGTGGTTTTGATTATTTTTAAATTGATTCATAAAGTAGATCAAGGCCTGTCCCTTTCCTGAATATAGATAACAAACTGAAGGAGGCATGATGACATATTCACAGATCTGAGCATCTTCCCTGGTCATTTTTCAGCAGTTGCAAGGCATCACTGGGGTACTATCAAGGAGAATCTGCATGGGTAGGGCATTGGGGGTTTTCTTACAGCAAGGAGGCAGACACTAGAAAAAAATGCTGTCTGCACATGCTCTTGGAATTGTGCAGCCACCTTGCCAGGAAGGGAAAATGTCTGCAGCTCATGCAATCCCTGCCATCTCTGGCAGATTTATTTTGGTGGGTGTTGTGATGCAGGTTTTTGTTCTCTTAGAACGGGAAGGAGACATTTAAATGATAACTTTGGTATTAAAAAACTTTAAAATAAGTAATTGTTCAGAACAGCTATTCCCAAAGTAGCTTGCTTTCTTTAAATATCTCCTGGGACTTTTGTTCTTGTTTGTTTGTTAGTTTATTTTTCTTGACTTTCCTCATATTTTCTTCACATTTCTCCCCCATCCCCCCAAAAGATTCAAAATTACTCTGTAGCATAGCAGAAAAAAAAAAAAACAAACAGTTTAAATGGAGTTCCCCCAGGATTCATTTTTGTCTAAATCCCAGTGAAAGTCAGTGGTGTTGGTGCTCCAAAAGCAGTCAATTATTTAAAAAATCCTACCTAAATAAAGCTATCTATCACCTTGGTTTTGCTGAGTAACATTTACAGAGCCTGCACTGTAATAGATTATCTCTTCATTGACAGAGAAAGACAAAGCATTTTTAAATATCTAGTTTAAGGTAGGGGTTGTGCCAGTTAGAGCAAAAGCAAGCAGTATTTTTCACTCCAGTGTCTGTTGGATGAATGAAGCTGAAGATGGAGCTGTGGGGTACAGTCAGCTAAATACTGGTAGTCATGGAGAGAAGCAGCAGCTAATTGAAACTAATAAATCTTTTTGTGTTAGTCTCGTCCAAGTAAGTAAAGGCATGTGGTAACAATGAGTATAACTACATTTCATTTTTGTTGTGAGGTTACAGCTACAGATAGAGTTATGCCATTAGCTGTTTAATTCCAGTATTAGAAATTCAGCAGGCATGGTGTGAATGAAGCAGTTTCTTTATATGCATGAATGACAAACTCTTGCTGTCTTTCAAAATTTCTCCTTCATTGTATGCTTTCTCTTGGACCAGACATTTTGAAATCTGCCAAAGGTATTGCAGTACTGCTTAATAGTCAGACTCAATGATCCTAAGGGTCTTTTCCAATGTAAATGTTTCTATGATTCTCTCCTATAGTTCTGTCTAAGTTCTCTGACAGGTTTCCACTTCTCAGTCTGACTCTACAGATCCAAAGTGCCTATTCAAACTCTGTGTGTAATGCAAGAGAGCAAATACTTGCTGCATTAAATACAAATTTGGGAGAGGCAAGTGACTTGTCAAGTTATAGAGTGGAATCCTTTCATCTTGGCACTCTTGAATGGTTTTTGGACCTAAATATTAACAATTTGATACTGTGCATTTACAGAAAGGAGTAAGTGAAAATGAAACAGAGCTTAAAAAATGTCTTGGTCAGAACTTTGCTCATAAAACTGTGAAAGAAAGCATTTCATAAATATATACTACTGTAGGTGAGGTTTTTCTGTTCAAAATAAGTGGTCTCTTATTTCTAAAGTTTTGTCTTTGAAACAAAGTTTTTTCAGATAGAAAAAGAAACATACTAAATATTTGGAAGTATGTTTTCGAAACCATTGTTTTGAAAATAAATTAAACAAAAATAAATGAAACAAAAACAAATTAAGCACATTATCCTTTTGATTTGCTAAAAATGAAGACATGCATTGTTTTAGATTGTTATGCTGTATTTTTTTTAATTGTCAGCAACTGCAAAAGGGATCTGTAGAGCCTTGACCAGGAGTTCTTAAGTCTATATGAGAGCTCCCTGATACAATGATCTCTCAGGTTAGTACTTCTGTTTTGCACTATGTTTCCATTACTGTGATGGTGCTCTCTACAGTTGCAGACTCCAGCTTGGCTGTTCCTCTGTCTCTCTGAAGTCAAAGTAACATGGTGGTAAAATTATAAATGAGAAAAGAATTAAATAGGATTTTGATTTTTTGTCCCCTGGATTTTTGAAGGAAGTAGACAGTTCTTGAACTATTTCCATAAACTGATGTACCCTTTGAATTTCATGTAAGTCCTGTTTTAAGAGTTAAAGTGGAGTATGAGTTTTGCTGGTTATTTTGCATGGAAGTCAGCTTTACATTCATTATTTTATTGCATGCAGTACTCAGCTGCTTCTGGTCACTGACATTAGCCAAATTGTTAAATTAACAGATATTTTCAGTTTAAATATGAAAGGAAAGAGAAAACCTGAAACAGAGATTCTTCATTTTTTTTCCTCATGACAGCATTTAATTGCATTCGTCATTATTTCTGACAATGTTACTTTTTGCTTTACCCTGTGCCTACAAAAATAAAAGTAGCAAAGTACCTTTAAAATAAAACAAGCAAGACAATTGGTTTAAGAAAAAATAGCAGGGGATGCCAAACCAGACCGCTATATTCAAATGCACCTACATAATGAGAAGTCCACAATGAAACCTTAAATTTTGTGGTCAAATATCAAATATCTGGTATCACAACTACATGTGAAGTTATAATACAGTAAAAGGACTGATTGAAAATATTTTCTAAAGAGGTTATGAGAAAAGACTTACCTAGGAAGCACGGCCAAGATTTAAGCCATTACTTCAAATGTGAAACATTTGGCAACAAGTGATCATATTAATCAGAAAAGATGTCCTGGTTCATTATTTTTGGTCTGAGAATAATTTGGTTCTTTGCTTAAAGGTACTCAGTGTACCAACAAACAAGCATTATATAAATAGAATCAAAATGCATTTTTTCTTTAATCAAATAACATAGCGCAATAAATAAATTAATAACATTATTTTACAGCCATGTGAAGTGTGAGATATGATCTGTTAATATACAGAATTAATGCACCCCTCCCATGCAAAATCAGCCTATTTCTGTCTGGGTTGGAATTGGCACAGTTGGCGCAAGTGACTGGAAAGCTCGGGGGCTTTGTTTTTTTATTGCTGCCGTGCAGCACAGTCTCCACTGGACAGCTGTACTAAACTGATGTAACCTTAGTCAGAGCTGGACATGCAAATTGGCAGACACACTTAGAATTCATTGACTGTACATCCAAGTGTTTTAATCAGAGATGATTAACCTAGCTAAGCATCAAGCCCTCTCTTCTTAGTCTCTAATCATCCTATCATGCTAGGAAGCAGTTTGGTCGTCTTTCCCCTCTTCCTTCCCATAGTACAAGTACTAGAGATTTGAGTCTTCTGACAATTTGTGGTATGTAGGTCTCTCTTCCCTGGCCAGTTCTTTTGAGGTGAGAAATGTTTCTTTGCTGGTCTCTGGTGCTTGCTTCAGGGAACAATGGAAATTCAGGAGTATTCTTTGGCTTCTAAGAGATTCAGTTCTGTTCTAATGGATTTGGAGGATTTGATTGCAGTAAGAGCCATGCCTGTGGAAAAGCAAACAGACCTCAGAGGTCATTTTTTAAAGCAGGAGCACCTTTGGAACAGTAACACAAGGCCTGACAGGGTGGGCACAGAAGAGGAGGAAGGAAGGGGGGCCAGAGGGATCCATGACTAATGCAGCAGTAGTCCAGACAGATCTGAATCTTACGACAGATTTCAACTATGCCATGGACTGTCTTGACTCTGATCCCACTGAAATCAGACTTCAAGGAGGGGCAGGAGGGTGTCACTGATTGATTTTATATCATTCTATCTTTCAGTCCTGTTCTGATCAAGTGCTGGAGTGTATTTAAAGCACCCACAAATTGCTTTTAGGGGTATCTCACTGCTACTGCTGATGATAAATTCATTAGATAACATACACTTCCTGTGCCTTTTGTGTGCCATGTTTGTGCATGTCTGCATTCAAACACAGATGAAAAATTAAATTTGCTTGGCTTAAGCAATTTTCACTGACAGCATAACTCATTCATCTTGAGTGCCTGGATAAGCTGAAGCTGAAACTATTTGTCCTTCTTTCACTGCCCAGTTCCTGAAAGCTGGGGTTAGAGTTGGCTTGCTTTATATCAAAGTTGTGCTGAGACACACCAACAGCCAGGGCACATAAGCTGTCACTTTCCCAATCCTCCCAGTTCAACCACACTTTAGTATAAGACCTTAGAGAAGGACTAGACTTAGTTACAGATAATATAGGAAATTCCACATGACTTTCAGTAATTACACAAAAATGGGTTTATTGATACTATTTTTAAAATTGCCTGATATTTGACAATAATAATTTGTCTACATATCCTTCCTTTTTCATGTTGGAAGTACTGATAAGTTCATGTCTTGCAGTAATGATAATTGCAGTGAAAACATAGTTGTAAGATTAGAACTAGTTTTTGTTGAACACGTCTATTTTATCTTGACAGCTAATTTACCTCAGCATTTTTTGAGGACCAAGAGAGAACTGGATCATCACTCCTGTTAAATGGAGACTCCTTCTGACTGATAGAAATGTAAGCATTAGCAATTGCATCAATAACAAATATAACTTGATTTTAGAAGAAAGTGTGACATTTTTAATCCCACCTATTGATTACATAGGGTTACCAAGAAAGAAACATGGGAAGACTTCCCACTTAAGAATCTGTCTTTTAAAAATGTTCAAAGATTTTTGCAAGCACATCTAGTAAATACAGGACCAGTTCTGATTTACAGTATGATTAGTGCCATTACTCTGGAAGCATGAGTTGGCTATAAAAATGTTACAAATCAATTAAGTCCATGTTTCAAAACTGGAACATGGTTGAAAAAGAAAAATGCTCATAAATGAGCATTCATCATTAGATGAATCCTGTAGCTGGATTATTCTTCTATTGTTCTCAACAAGTATATGCAATATACGAAGATATTAAGCATGTTTATGATCTTGTTCATGTGTTATGAGTGTTTTGAGGTGCCTTAGTTTAGGACCTAGTCCAAAGAGCACAGTTTTCAGCAGAATCAGAAATGTGTATCACTTCCGTATGTATCAAGTCAATACGAAGTATCAGCTGCCACTTTTGAAAGAGTGGGCAGTGTAGCAGATGGAGGCACAATCTTAAATTTCCAGGATTTGTACTATGAGTGTACTAAAAAAGACTATTTGCAGCCTCAAATACTATGTCTTCTATGCTTACTTATTCCTTCAGAAAACACCTTTTAATGACTTACTGCTTCCAGTGCATTGAATACACACTTTTCCTTTGATACTGCAAGGTGTCCAAAATACCAGAGCCATGTGAGAGAAACATTATCTGTGTGTTTTGCCAAAAAGATTGACTTTGGCTACCCATGTAAATTTTCTGGATCTTTTGATCAAACACTCCACCCTGTTGCAAATTTGGAATTCATGCCAAATATAGCATCCAGCAGTGAGATAAGGCTGAATTCTTTCATGTGAGCTACAGTGGAGTTTTAAAATTCTTATTTGTGATGAATATTCTATATATATAGTTACAAATTTTGCTCAAATAATTTATTCCTCAAACAATTTGAAAATACTGTTGTTGCTTTCGAACTCAACCAACTTAACATTCAATCTCAGAAAGATCTTGTTCCAAAGATGGTACAAGTACTACTGCTTCTCATTTCATAAATGTGTGCAAATACATATTGCTAGCTTTTGTTATTATCCAAAATTTTAATTGTTGGTGAAAATTATATTTTTACTGGAAAATGATGTTTGGATAGTGGAAAACGAAAAGCAGACAGGGCTTACCCACTGAAGGCAGTGGGACTTTTTCTGAAATTTCCATTTAGTATGTCTGGCAGAAATGGGCTTCATGCTGCTTCAGTTCAAGATATTTCCAAAAACATTGTTGGGAAACATTATAGCGGATGGTTTTCATAAGTCAGGAATACTCAGTATAGCCAGATTACCTGTTACTTAAGAAATCTTAATTAAAAAAGAAACAGGTACCAAAAAGTGCTCAAATTGTCCAGGATTGGAAGGATCCTATAATGAAAAGTAAGAAAGCTTAGCTAGCATGTTCAGGCAAAACAAAAATATGGATAAGATTGTATTCTATAAACATATTAGAAAAGGTACTATTTAAGGGAAATGCTGACACAAGAACAGATGGATATAAACTATTTGTGTACCATTATTTTGGATTTTAAAAAGGTTTCTGATGCTAAAAGAAATGAGACTCTATGAACCTCTTCCTTAAGAGAAAAAAAATCCCAACTCCCAAACAAAAAAAAATCTAATTGATTATAAGCAGAGCCATCATATGAAAAAGATTATATGGCATAGTTGCCTACAAAAACAAGGGACTGAACTCAATGACCCAAGAGTCCTTTCCAATCTGCTGTTCTTAATTAGATGCATGAGTATCATGGGAGCTCTTCTAGCCTCCAGCCTGTTCCTGCAAGAAGATTCTTTTATTTGTGTAACTTCTCACTGGTATCCCTGCAAATCTGCAGGTCCCCACTGACATGTAGGTGATATGGATTCTTGGATCAAGTTCTAGGGAAGGGTTCCTGATCCCAGAAGAAAATTGTATATCTGGCTTCTGTTTTCTATCTTGATTTTGCATGCAGCTTCTGTTTCAATTCCCGAAACTCCTTTCAATTAATTGTTTCATTTTTCTTGTGAAGATAACGTTTCTTCTTGAAGAATGAATTAAATACTCTTTAAGAATATATTAATAATTAAAATTCGTATGACTGGGAATAGTTTTACGTGCACAATACCTGTTGCCAAGACCTGAGTGTTCTTGTTACTGTGCAATCTGTGTAAGTGGAGGGTTCAGTGGCTTTCTGCCCCTTGAACCAACATTATTGCTTCATTACTGCAGGTCAGGTCTTGTGCCATAAGCATTGAAGCACATAATTCTCATAGGATCAGTAGGTGAATGTTAAGGTAGCCTAAGCTTCCAGTGTCAGTGGGGAAAACATTGCAGTGGGAACCTCTGAAAATGAAATTCTTGATCCGGTAGCATCATAGACAATCACAAGTTGCCTTTTATAGAGCTCCATAGTGCAGTAGTTTTTGAGGCTGAATCCTTATCTTACCACTTACAGTGACTTCAAAGTCCTTGTTAAAGGCTTTCCTTTTACACAGGATGTAAACTGGCTATTTCTGCCTCTCTTGCTTCACCTGTAAATCAGGGCAGTCAAGGGCTGCACATACTTGCAGGGGATATCTGGAGTCTCTGATAGAAAGTCCTACTTGTAAATTATTATGCTAAAGGTCTTTCCAGTTCTAAGCTGCAAGTTCTAACTTGCTATGATAGTAGATGGGAATGGAAAGATTCCCATTAATTTGGGATGGCTGGTAAACTCCAGCAACTTCAGTTACTGCTTTCAATTGTCCAGGGGTTCTCTAGTGTGCTGTTTTCACAGGGAAATTCATCAATGGCAATAACCGCAGAAGTTCTTACTGTTCATGAGCTTGCTGTGTGAAAGCCATGACTTCCAAAACTTGGAAGGACCCAATTGGTTATGCCAGAAGCCATGCCAGGTCTGCCTGCCAGGCACCCACTGCCAAAAGAGAAGTATGGTACCAGAGTCTGAAAGGCATACAAGACGGCCTTCAAATGCTGAATAAAGCGGACTGAAATTTTCTTAGCTCTCCATTCTGAGCTGAAAGGATTTGATTCTGGCATTTTCCTTTGGCAGTGTTTGTTTTTGTACTGAGATATTGTATTTCTGCCTATTCTGGACACTGTAATAAATAATCCTAGAATTTTATTGCATTTTTTTAAATATTTTATTAGGGTGAATCTCTGCCTTTGACATGATTTGTGCCACTGTTAAGGTTTTTAATTCAATCCTGACAATTAAACCAATGAAAAATCCATAATACCGCTATTTCACTCTGCATTGCAGAAGGTAGCTGAATGTCTTATATCTGGAAGTCCAAAACACAACCACTAATATGTGGCAAACACAGACCAAGAACAAACTCACAAGAAGAAAGCTGCAACTCTCATCAGACATAGGCCAAGAGGTTTCTTTGGTCACGGACTTGCAAACTCTGCACTTTTTTACTCAGAACCTTGTAGCATATGAATGGGAAAGATATTTCATCCAAAGCAGCCTGAAACCCCTGCTGCCTTTTAGCTGTAAAATGGAAGCTGAAATTACTTTCATTATCACATGCCACCCAAAATGCTGATTTTCTACTTGGTCTTTTCTCAATATTTTCTGTGCACATGAAAATGTGCAGATTCTCAGAATGTTTCTCAGTACATTGCAAGCAACAGCAAATGCAAGTTACTTATATTTGGACAGTTACATATTTTAGAAAGGAAAACTGTCTTAATTTTCTAGTAAATAGATGAACTGAGCTCATAAATATCAGATCACCTTTGTTTATGTAGACAACATGGGGAAAGGCAAGACTGTGCCTGTAAGAGAGTCAGGAGAGCCTCCTTGCTTTATGATGTTCATGCTCCTATTTCCCATTTAAAAACACTATAATCTATACTGCTGTTTATCTTCAGGGACTGTCAGCCAACCTAATTAGTTAATTTTTTAACAGCATTGGAAAATGGAAAATACAGTAGATACACTGAATATTGTCATTTGGGCTGGAGTATATTTCAGTGTATGTTTTGGCTAATTTGATTTTTTTTATGGATATATATTAGCTCTGCCTTGGTCCCATTGCCAGTGCAAGTAATTTTGAATTTAACTGAAAAGACTTCTGCTTTGTTTCTTCACATTTAAGATATCAATTGCTTTGTGTCTGTGGGAATCCTAAATTCCAAGATCTGCTGGCTTTTTTTCCCCTTCCTTATGACTTGCAGGATATATTCATTGCAATGAAGTTTTGGAGAAAAGCAAATCTGCTGATGTGAGGAAACACATGGAAAACCATTCTGGAAGCATAGAAAGCATAACCGTTTATCAAACGAAACAAGTCTGTTGTTTTAGAAGGCACTTCAAATTTAGTTCTTTTCACCTTACAGTTTGCTTCTCACAGAGGTCACCAAGCTTTATTATTTGGTGAAACTGGGTGGTTTTGAGATATTTTTATTTGGACAATTTGAAATAAGAACTTAAAATCATTAGCTGCACTTCCATCTCTTCATCTGGCATCTAAGAGCAGTCTTAGGTTGACACCTCTAAGGGATGAAATCTCTACTCTGATCCTTTTACTTTCTCCATGGCATCTGGATTTTCATTGCATTGCTTGTAGGATATTCAACCTATTAAAAACACTTTGAGGTCAGTAACTTTGATTACAAAGTCCTCAATCAGGAAGAAATCAACTTTACCTCAGCATCTTTCTATTCTTACAGGGAATAACTAATACAGTGCTTAAGAGTCTCAATATCCATGTAGACTCCTCTGGATTCTCTTATGTAGGAAATCAGAGTGTCCTCTTCCTGTATTTTTTCCTTTTTTTTTATAAAAGCATATTAATTTAATCTGTGAGTTATTCAAGCATCTTTCAAACATATTTATAGCTCCTGAAGGTCTTTGCTACTGTTTCTCTTGAATTGGGGCTGGATTTATTTGCCAATTAACATAAACTTTTATTTTATGAACCACATTATGAACACTACAAAATAAAGGGTAGGGGATTTGAAATGATTTTCTGTAATTTATACAGGTAGCATAATCTTTTGAGAATGCAGCAAAATCTTAATTCCAATTTAAAACAGTTTAAACTCATGAAGATTGTTGCCCCTGTTTCACTGGTTTGGAAAAACACACCGAAGAGACTGTACCAGTACCACTCCACATGTTCAGTTCCAGACTTTCTAGGCTGCTATTCAGAAACACTGTATAGTTACATTTCCACTTAAAGTTAGTATTAACAGTGCTGAACACCTTATGCTTGTCACTCTTAAAATTTTAGAATTTTTTACATTCTGACCATCCCTATACTTGAGTCTCAAAGCAAGCAATTTTACATTGCCTTGTATTCCAAAGCCTTTAGTACATGCCCTTTGAGGATTCATTCTCCTTCTCTTGGTGGTACAAACACAATGACTAAGATGTCTCAAAGTGGGACCCTCAAAATGAATGGACATATTTTGGGAAAAGACATTAAATTACTTACACCAGGATTTACTGTAGTTATCATTAGATGATAGCAAATCAGGAAATTGTCACTCCTTATACTGTGATTGTTGACATTTCTTTCCTCACATGAAACCAAATGGAATCTCTGAGAGAAAAGACTCTTATTTTCTGTTTGGGTCCAAGAGCAGGTGTTTGAGGCATATCAGAAATATGTCATCTGATCTGTTTTCTCTGTATGATTCAAAATATGCCATCAGTATTCTTCAGGTTAGATATATCAAATGCATAATGCTGCTGACCAAAACCGTAATTCTGTACTTACAGTCAAATAAAAAGAAGCCAAAGTTCCCATATAAGACTAATCTATAAGGTGGTGATCTATTTTTCTTTGCAACCATTATGCCATCCCTACTGGGACACGAGGTAGAAAATGATCTATTGAACAGTAGTACCAGAAGAAGTCAGATTACGTTCTTTATACTGTTTTAGGGTGTTGGGCCAGACAGATGGGTTTTGGTTAGTTTTGGGGTTTTTTTGGTGGGGGTGGGGTGGACTGTTAGATTTTTCATTTTCTTGTTTGGTTTTGAGAGGCAAAAAGGCAAAAAAAAAATGGTAGATGGAGCACAATGTTTGAAGGGTGCATGAATTTCAGACCAGGACTGAGTTCTGTCCCTCCTAGTGAGGGTACAAGCAGAGTGATGTTGGGTCAATCTGCATCCACTGGGGTAGACAAGTTCTGTGTGGTGTTTTCAAGTGTGTATCTGTTTTTGTTATGTAAGGATGAAAGTCTTGGCAAATAATCTTGTATGTGTCTCCCCTGTATAAATAACTTTGACAGCTTTGTTGAATAAATCAGGATTGATTTAATATGTACAGTCCTTGAACACTTTTCAAGTGTTTTCCTATAAATCTCTTGGTTTGGCAACCTGTTTATGGTGATTTCTAATGAGGCCAAGTGGCTGCAGTGAGAGCTTCACTCAATGCCTGTAGATGTAACATATGTCTTCAGTGTGAGAGAAGAGCAGTAAGATTTACAAGCACTCTATTGCAGCTTCTATAAATTAAGTATCCTTTATTGCCCTCACTCTCTTACTAAACATAAGTTTGTGTCTTTTCTTCAAACCAGGGGAAAACTGTAGGAATTTGATGGAATGGAACTGCATAAAAGAAATCTGCATTTGTTTTATTGGATGCATTACTGTGATTTTGTGAATGCCCCTTACCTGCATATGAGAATTTCTTGGAACTGTCATTTAAACTCATATATAAATGGAAAAGCGCAGACAGCTGTATGAACCTAGGCTAAAACATCTGTGTTGTAGTTTCATCTCTTAGGGCCTCAGATTTTCTTAGACTTCCTCAGTTTGTGGCTATGGAGAGAAGGAAAACATGTTTTTGAATGTTCAAATGAATCAGTTTGATAATGTTCAGCCTCAGTAACCAAATCCCTTTAGAGAATGAAAGAAAATAATTATTTCACTCTTAAAGTAAAAGTTTACAGTCTTTTAGAACAGATGTACTCCTGAGGTGGGTGTAAGTAGGATGTTAAATCTGGTGGGAAAGTTGCCAGAAAGGGCTTTGTGCATTTGAATGTGCTTAGAAAAACACAGCTCTTAATAATTTGATTTTTTTGTAGGGTGGATGATAACTAAAGAAGAATATTCTCAATATATTCTTTTCCTCATAAGCTAAATGCTGTCACTTTGGCATGATTCAGGTTTGTGAACAATGCAAAGCTAACCTGCCTTTGCGAAAAAACCAGAGGCCGTTCTCTTTCTGGACTCATAAAGCCTTCAGGAGGAGCCTAATGCATGAAAAGAGCTCCAGAGAAACTCTCCCTCATGCCATTGTTGCACATTTTTGCACATGGGATTTAGAGTCTTGGAGCCTGCTCTTTTTCATTTTTATGGTAAGGCAAGCTTCCATGAAAAGAATTAGGAAGCTGCTGATGTACTATTCTGAGATGGGAGAAAAATGCTTCTTCCCTAGAAGAGACAGTTCTTCCTTTCTCCCCATCCTCCTCCTACAGAATGACTAGAAATACAGGAAAAAGGATCAATACTTCTTTCCAAGATATTGCTTAGGATTTTATGGCAGTCAGAAATGACTACAACATGTTGTGGCGTTACATTTATGCCTTTGCACGTCTATAGCACAGGGCAGCAACTACTGAACTTTTAATACATCTTTGTGTAGCATTTACCTATCATTTGTTGACCTCTCCTCCTGTCACCCGTCCAGCTTTCTAATAATTTTATAGCAAACACACTCCAAAGTGTATATGTGTGTGAGAGAGTTGCTTAATACTACAGTTATTTCTGTTACATTTCACATAACGTAACTTGAGTTATGATGCACAAATCCATGAATTAATGTCTTTCTGTGTTCTTTTACAGGCACTTTTTTGAAGCCACACTCAGGTTTGGAATATTGATTCTCTTGGACTACAGAACTTTAATCTCAAGAGACATCTGTATAAACTAATTTAGTATCAGAGTCAAAGGGTTTATTTACATGGAGAATTGATCAGCATTGCTAGAGCAGAAATGGCTTTACTTCAGTGTTACTCCCTCATGTGAATGTTGTGCTCTGGAATAAAATGGACTTTGTTTTGAAATAGTTACTCTTACTAATTGTTCCAGAGTAGAGTGTCGACAGGAGAGAGCTATGGCAGAAATAGCCATAAAAGAATAGTTACAACTGGTTACATTTACTGGGTAGGAATGCCTTGTGCAAGGGTGGCATGAGATTTGCAAGGGTGAAAAATGCAGTAGATACTGTCATTTCTGCTCTTGTCAGCTAACTGGGTTGCTGGGTTAGCTTGTTCTCCTTTACAAAGATTTGTTAGGGCCACGGTGTTCTGGGAAACCCCAGCGATTTTGCTTTGATACCACTCTTCAAATAACTCAGTAAGATTAATGTAAAATACAGCTTTGTCTCTCTTCTCCCTCTTCCCCATTTATTTTCACTTTCTAAATTCAATTACAATTTGAACCTAAAATACTTGGGTGAAAACCAAGTTTTTATTTTTTCCTACAGTGTTCCTTGACCTGCTGGTATTTGGCAGTTCACTGATGTTTCATGCCTCTCATTACCTCTGAGCTAAAGAATACCTTCTTGAATGACCTTTTCACCCTTGCCAACATATAGTCAGGCTTTACCACAGAAAAGATCAGGATGTCTTGTTTTCTTGGCTGTTTTTCTCCCCTGTAACAACAAAGAGCTGTTTGCTAAAATGTATTTCAGACATTGCTGACAGCTGCATGAATTTCAAATGGCTGAGACAAAAACCCCACAACAAACCAGAGAAGCAAGATAAAAGTAAAAGTTTAACTTCTCCCATAAAACCTGCCATTACAAAATACATTTTGTGACTCCTCAGAAAATCTTAAGGAATTGAGGTTTTGTGCACTTTTGTGTAAGCTATTCTGTAAAGGTGAGAATTGTATTAGTCTTAGCTAATACAGTTGTTTTAGTCTAATTGTTTTAGCCCTAGTAATTGTTTTAGTCCTAGCTCTGCTAAAGAGTGAGTCTGTGGCCCTAATAGAGTCCTGTATGTGCCACCATTTGCACAGAGACCCACTGTACAAGCATGTATGTAATTTCAGACCATCAAGGAACAGCTGCCATGCCAGTGCAAGTGCTGAACATTAGTTTTTACTGCTTAGGTTGCAAGTTCTAAAAGAATCATTCAGGGAAGTGGCTCAAGAATGGAAGCAAAGGTGCTGAAATTCTGATAACCACTCTGTGATATACTGTGGGCCATGAAGAGCTTACTCTTGCAGTTCTTCAAGCCACTTCAAAGTTAGATGGTTTCATCTCCATAGGGATGAATCTGAGTTAATATACCTTCTTTTCCAAGGTGTAGCACTGTCTGAAGCTAGTGGCTCATGGTGCACAGTAACCTGGCTACCTCTGGGAGTGCTGCTCAGCAGGCTGGCAGCCAGGCAGAATATAGTGTAGACATTAAACACAAAGGTTCCTGTGTGAGGATAGCAATGTATTTCAAATAGTCATCCTCACTTCAGGTTGGTTTCCAAATAATCATCCTCACTGCAGGTTGGTTTCCAACCTGTAGAAAAGTACTCCTAGTCAGTATATTGGAGAAGAGGTCTGAAAAGGAAGGAAAAAATTAATTACAGTTAAAATCAAAGGAAATCCAGGAAAATGCTGGCTCACTTCTCTGAGTATAGCAACATAGATAGTTCAAAATGGTGATAATTGGTACTGTAGAATAAAAGAATCTGCACTAAATCTAGTGAAAGACAGTCTGTAGTGAAAAGGACAGAATACACAAAAGTTGAAAGAAATTCTCATGGATACACAGAAAAAACAACTAAACCAGATGGTTTCTTCCCCTTCCTTCAACAAATAGCTTATCTACCAATGCTATTTCCAATGAGTACAAAAATCAGTGGAATCCTCTTCACATTGCTACAGCCCTTTACATTTTGAAATATTGCTGTTTCTCTTTGGTTTTCTCAGACCAGTGCTGCTACCAATCTTCACAGAAGCTGTAAGTAAGGAGTGATTTCCTCCCACAGCAACAGTATAAGAGGAGAACCAGGAAAATGGCAAAAGAAAGAGCAGCAAAGTAAAAGTAAGGTTCTCTCAGCTACAGGCAGCACAAAGACCAAGATTGGGTAAAAAAGGTCACACCTTGATGTTAGAGGTACAATTCAGTTGCTTCCTCTAACATGAGACTCCTATACGTCATACAACAACTGCTAATTCAGATGGGGTGCTGGGTATTTCTAAGTTGGATTAGGAGGTAATAGAGTCATTCAGTCCCACCTGGATCTCCAGAGTGACTGCTTGCATTCAAATCAGGCTAATTGGAGGGAATCTCATTAAATATCAATGTTTAACTGTGCAGTGATTAGTAAATGTGTTTTGGCTTGCTTGATGTGGAAAGAAAACAGAAGGTAGAGTGAGGATTAAAAAGAGATCCCAAGCAGATCAAGACGATCAAAGAGGCTTACTTCTCTGTTATGGAAGATGTATTCATTTTGCCATTACTTCGACATCATGGCAAAAAGGGGGCCATGTATTGTCCATGCAGTAGCTTTAGCACAGCTTTTCATATGGTATATTTCATGGTCACTGTGGGTACTTTTGTCCAGCACACTCTTTCCAAGGTTTTACTGCAGCAGCATATTTTGCTGTTTTCCTTCAAAACAGTGTTTTAGCAACATGAAGAAAGTATTAATCAAATTAAAGCTATCGAAGGAGATCAGGTAGAGCAGAGAAATGTCTTAATTTGCCCATGAAGTGCTGATCCATAACAACAAAGGCTTTGAATGCTGAAAACTTTTAATGCCCTTATTTCTAATGTGGTGCAGTACCTCTGTGGAAAGAGAACTCTTAAATCTGCACTTAATTCTGAAAAGTTGGACTGAGGCATTGAAGAACTTTTGTTGTGAAGAAGGATGTCGGATCTATTTCTTCTCCCTGATTGTTGAGTTATTGAATTCTGAATTCAGTAACTCAACAACTTTCAATAACTCAATTCAACTTTCAATAATTGAATTATTGAAATTAATTGTCTCCCTGTCCAGTGATATAATGCTTTACAGACACTGCATAATTACCTCTGCAGAAGAAATGGAGCAGAGCATTATCCCCATCTTCCCATGTGTCCTCATTTTTCAGCAGATTTGTAGAAGACTACAGCCTTTACCAGCAGTAGAGTGAAGCACACAAAAATGGGTCACCCATGGCAGTGCTGACTGCTTTTTCCAACATGTGTCATTGTGAGAAAGTGAATACTTCCCTGGGGGAATATTTCCATGAGATTGATTATTTGGTAACTGTAACAGTTAAAGCAATGTGCTGTTTATCATTGTTCCTCATTAAACTGAGAGACAGGATGTTAATTAAAAAGAAGACTGTTTCTTCTAAATTAAAAGAAGTTGTAATTCAGACCAACTGCTTGCATGCTAGATTTCCACAGCTGTTGTGCTCAAAGTGAGGGGATTCAGTGGGAATTGTTTCTGAACAGCACTCAGGTGGTCAGATTAGTCTCCGAGGTCCTGTCCTGAAGTGTTGCGCAGCAGTTGTTTCAGTAGAAGCAACTCATGTTAAAAAGTGTGTGGATATTAAGAAGAGGACAGTGGGCACACCATTCCATCTGTTTCCTTAGACACTGATCCTGGCTGACATACATGGAATCCCTGGGGATTTTTTCCCTGCTCCCTGTGAAACTGGGGAAGCAGTCAGATCCATGCTTCTTCTCAGCCCTCAGCTTGCTATCTTCTCTAAATATCCCATTCCAACATGAAAACCTGATTTGGTAGTCAAACCTGTGCCAAATTAAAAACTCCTGTGTGAAGCTGTCCTTAGAAGGCTGCAAGATCTGATGAAGGGGGTAAAGATTGGGTTTTCTATCTTCTTAGCCTGGCATGTGAAGCTGCTTCTTAAAGAATTTAAACTATGTGATTGAGGCTCTTTGTTTTGTATTTTTCTTGAAACAGGACTAATATGGAAATTTAAAGATCTAAGTGGTCCCTTCTGAAAGTTCCTAACATTGCTATCAGTATCATTTCTTTTTATAAACAGAACTGTTACAGTTCTAAGAAATAAAGTATTCAAAGAATGCACTCATAAAAGATTACACATACAATGGAATTTTTTAGCCTCAATGGGAACAGAAGGCTTTGTGAGAAGTGTTTGTGTGCAATGAACATAATGTTTGAATCAATTTTTAAGCTGTTGCTAATGAAACACCACCATTTGAATAATGGGCTACAAGGCATGCATCTTACAGATGCACTATGTATCAGTTCCTGCCTGGAGTATCAAAACCCCAGGGCTTTAGAATGTGAAACAAGTGTTCAAAAAGAACATTTCTAGAAGGGGAGGGGAGGAGGGAAAGATCCTGAAATGCAGCTTGAAGTGATGTGAGATTTATTCCCTTAGCTCGTGTTTTCCTTAGTTTCATCATATGATTTGGCAGTTCTGCAGAGCTGGTGTTAAATACATCACATGGGAGTGTAACAGAGATACTTCTGAGCCTTGGACAAGCAACAGACCTCACAGAGAAGAAGCTACATGACAGTTCCTACCTGTTCCACTTCTGTAGTTTAGCATTTCTTCCTTATGTATTCTCCAGTCTGTTTCTCCCATCACATAACTGGTCTGACCACACCTCAGGGCTTTCCTTTTGGGTCATGGCTGGTAATACTGCCCCTACTCAATTTTTTTTTTCACTGAATGGGAAGGTTGGGGGTATCCTTGCACTTCTTCCTCCCTTCACATACATTATCTGCTGCTAGAGGCTCCCCAGGCAGATTCTCTTCACAACTCAATCCCATCATTGCTCAAAATAAGCAATAAAGAAATACAGTTAGGGAGGAATTGGTTATTCTGAAGGGTTCAGTGAAAGGTTCAGATGGGTACATATTATGCACACAATGAATTGTTTCTAAATAATTTCCTCCAAGAACCAAGAAAGTTTGTTTCTTGAGTCTGCAAAAAGGCATATTGCCAGACAACATGGGGGCTTGGTCTTGAATGGATAATTCTTGAGCTTAAAATTAATTTCCAGCATGATAAGTAAATGTTTCTGTTGCCTTTTCACAAACATCTACAAAACCTTCCCATCATGATTGTTCTCTT